AAAGGACTTTTTCAGAATTCAGCTTATTATACCTGTCAACCAGGCTGTGATTGAGGATGAGCTGTCTGAGCTTCCCAGTGTACCATGGCAGAATTTTGGGGAAATTAACAAAAGCCCCTCTATTTATGTCTGTTTGAATGATATTTGTCCAAACTTACCTATCAGCAACCAGATAGGTATGCATCATGTTCTTGCTATCAGTTGCATTTCTATCACTTTAATAGAACATCAGACAGCTAATACTGTGTATAATACATACATTCTATTATTCTTAGAATATTTTTGTTTTCTAAAGATACATCTAACTTCATGACTAGCATCACTTAGTACACACATGATCATAAATGTTACTTAAGTGAGGAACTGTGGCCTATGTTGGTAATGCACTTTTTTCAGCCCATATAAATGTCTTGGTAGTTGGGCACAGCTGATAAGAATTCTTTACAAAGAATTGTGAACTTGGTCAGACTTGCAGGTTGTTAGATATTACCTTGTTTGAAGTGTGAAACCAAAACAAAAACCCCAAACCCAACCCAACATCCTCCCCCCCCAAATTATAAGCACTATAAATATGTTTATGTAACAAGTTGTTATCTCTGTTTTCATAAATGATTTTGTCAGGATTGACTTTGTTCTGTGAAATTCAGTGTATTTTTAGGTTTACAGTGTTGTGTAAATGTCAATTAATAATAAATATTTTTTCTAAGAGATGATGACACCAGTTATTTTAAACTAAATCTTAATTTTAAAACCTGTTTACTCCTGAGATTAAAAATAGAATTTAGTCCTCTTACAGATGCTTCTGTACCTATTTCCCAGTATAAAGTTTTTGCTCTGATAACAGATGTAGAATATTACCATTCAATTTGTTTAGTTTATTTTCTTAATTTATCCCAGAACTGGAATGTATTACTCACTGAAACAAGCTGTGAAGGTTAATACAGATACTTACAGAATACTTACTTCTCTCAGAAGATCATATGCTTAGATTTCACTTGTTTAAATTTTTTATTCTCAGGGGACATGTGTGTTGTGTTCTTTTGGAAGATAACTGCTCCTTTTTACATTCAGTAGTGTGGAGGCTGTGATATTACACACTTAAGGAAAAAACACTTTGTTACTGATATTTTACACCATCCTGTGTTCCAGTAGGTCCTGGATTTGACTCTGATGTTTGTATTAAAGAGCTTTTTCATTTCTTGTCTCAAGAAAGAAAGTTCAGATGGATGTTTCCAACATTTTGGGGGCACTTTTATGTGTCCTACCGAATGTCCGGAATTCCACTCTGATCTTGACATCTGCATCTATATCATTGTAGTTGAGCAAAGGAAATAATTGCAGAAACCAGCAAATAAGGTAAAAAGAGAGGTCAGCTTTGTACAAACAGTATTCAAACATCTTTCATAATTAAAGATAAGTCTTAATGGCACTGTTGCATGGGTCAAAATCATGTTACTAGAAAAAATAACTGTAGTCTCCCTCCTGAGAAATAAAGAATTTTTGCAGTTGAAGCATTAGACTGCAGTATATGTATTTTGAGGGTTTTGGCAGTTCTTAAAAAGGTGGTTGTGATTTTATGCAGAAATACAGCTCTTCTCCCAAAGCACTGTCCTGAGTTATTTCTGCAAAGGCTTTTACAATGTTTTAGCAGGCCAGTATTGTACAAAGCAAGTTTGCTGATTACAGTAGAGCAATAAGAGCTGCTGCCACTCTTCTAGATTTGAAAAAGAACTGAGTAGAGGTGATGATGATAGGGACTATGGTCGTTAGCAAACAAGACACACTGAAACCTAGTACCACTGTCACCTTATTAGCTGTCACTGTTGATGGAAGTGGGAGGATCCAGTGGAAAGGGAAGCAAAGATTTAAGGATTCAATAATTTTTACTTTTTTTTCCTGCTTTACCATCTGTCAAGATTTTTTTAAAATTTATTCCTTAGGAAATCTTAAGCTGTTCACTTTAACATCCAACTGCAATCTGCTGTCCAGAGGCTTTTACTTTGGATTAATAAAACTTTTTTTTTTTCATGGAGTCAACACAATAAGATGACTTAGGAAAAAAAAGAATCTGTTCAGTTGCCAGCAAACAGTGGGATATTTCTATTTTTATAACTGTAAATGGCCTTCATCTGTACCTGTATTTTATCTGGGAGTATTGAGAGCTGGTCAAGCAATAGAAAGCCATCATCATTCTCTTCCCAGAGGGAGGAGAAGCTAAGCTGTTCGATGTGGCTAGTGGTCTAGTGCACTTTGGTAACGATAATTGTAGAGGGAATGACGACAAATGATTCTAAGTGTGGCATTATCCAAGTATTAAACTACTGAGGATTTTAAAGAGCCTGTGTGACTAAAAGCTATGTGAAGCACAACAGACATTATGTTGAAGTGTGGAATTCAAGTGCAAAGGTGGAATGCTAACTCATAGATGAAGGCTTTTTTTCAGGATGTGCTAATTTGACTTTCATTTTCACAAAAGGTTAACGACAATTATTGTGATTGGATTTTGAAAAGTTTTAGGAATCTGACAGCAAAAGTTTGCATGCTATAGGTGTTGAATTTAAAGTAGAATTCATATCTTTAAAAGAGAACTATCTTACCTTCTCCCTGTGCAAAATCACACCAACTGTTTTTCAACATCTTTTTTCCTTTGGCTCTTGGTCTGTGTTCTTACAGCCTATTAATCTGTAGTAGCTGATTAAAACAGTATTTCAGAATCTTCAGAGAGGCAAACTGAACTTTTGACACCTAGAAATATCAAAGTTACTAATTTAAACCATATGGAGTATGTTACATTAGTACTGTCACTAGTCTTGTTCTAGAACAAGCTAAATTCTCTCCAGGAACCTACCTCCCTTCTGCCACTTCCTTGTCAAAAATTCAAATGTTTGCTTACTTTTTGTAGTCTTCAGACAGGATTTTTGTAGTTATTCCAGTGAACAGTCAATAATGTAAGAAATAAAGGTTTTTTTAAAAAGGGAAACATTGAGAATTAATGTTTTTTGAAATGTCTTAAATTACAACAAGGCTTACTATGAAGTGGAAGTTTTAAAAAAAAAATTCTAATAAGGTGCACAAGAAGTTTATGTTCTTTGTCCAAATCTCACCTGTAGGTGTGTGGGGTTTTTTTTGTCAGAGGATTATTTTCTCATATAGTTAATATATTTGTTACAGACAGCTTTTGCTTTGCAGGAGAAAAAACTTTTAAAACATGCTTCCCTGTACATGTTTGTAAAGCATATCTGTTGTCTGCCCTTCTTCCTGGTCTCAATGCAGTCCATCGTTTTCTTCAGGCTGTGTGGTTGGGGTTTTTTTATAGAACTGATATTTCAGTGATGTGAAGCAGCTGCCGTATTTACTTCAGTTTCCATACCAAAATGTTCTGATTAAATTAACTTTTTCCTTTTTTAATGAACTCAGATGAAAAGAGAATGTAAAAATGACTTAAAATATAAATGGGAGCCTAAGGAAGGAAAACAAAGGCTTTATTTTTCTTGGACCTAGTACCAACTGGGGTTTGGGCTGGTTAGTGGCATTACTTAAAGAAACTACAAGCTAATTCCATTGATGGCAGCTACATACCATTAAGAATACAGGACAGTAGCCTATATTTGCTGAATGTTGCTGGAAGATGTTCCTGTACATTGAACATTAGCCTATTTGCTTGGAACTGCTCTGGATTCTTCAGTTGTAAGAATTGGAAAATTGGTTATTCAAGTTGGAAGGAACTTCAGGAGGTCTCTAGTCCAATTTCCTGCTAAAAACAGGATAATCTGTGAGATTAGAGCAGATTACTCAGGGCTTTATCTGTTTGGGTCTTGAAAAACTTCCAAGGATGGAGACTGCACAACCTCTATTTTCAGATTATAAAGATGACCAATGGTTGTTGGCTTGAATGGCTTTTGATCTCGAAACCCATCTCAGAAACATAGTATTTTCATCAGTGATTTGGTATATCAAACTGGTTTAGCGACCTAAACTGAACTATCCTGAAGTGGTGGAAGACAAAACCCTTGAGGCAATTTTAAGAAGGAAACATGAAAGTTTGGGGTTTTCTGTCTTCCAGTGACTGTGGGAACACAGAGCTGGACTAGAAGGCGGCTCTTGCCAGTTGGTTCTTTCAATGTATTCTTGTCTCTTGCAAGAATATGTGCATGATCTGATGGGTTCTCAAAATTATTTCTTTTTTTTTTTTTCCTTTCTGGATATATATTGCCCATATGTCTGCTTCCAGAGTCCTCTTTCTACAGGAGTTATTCCAGGCTTAGCATGTCATGCATCAAAGCAATCCATGCTGCCAACTTTTGGTTTAGTTTTATATGAATAGGGCTCAGCCAGGAACCTCTCGAATGCAGAAATGAAGGGAAGAATTTAGTCTTCTGACTAGCAGTGGACCTGTGTTTTCCTTCATTTCCTGAACTAGTTGATGAACTAGATTTGTCTCCTCGGCACACGACTTGGTCTTTTAAGCATATTAAGATTTGAATTTGACTACTGGTGGAAAGGATATGGTTGATCCAATTCTTGCTGAGCATATTTGCACAGTAAATGCAGGCACTTAACTTCTATGGTGCAAACTCACCTCTGGCACTGGAAGTATTGCAAGAGAGTGATAAAAATACCAAGTGCTTTGTAGTATGATATTCTGCTGCTATATTCGCTAAAATTAGATCACATGTTGTATGACTTAATCAAGAAGCATCAGTTAGCACCAAGAAAACAGATATTCAAGAAATGTATTTCTTTTTCCTGTTGAAAATAGACAAGGTGGTATAGATTACACTCTAACAGGATTATGCATGAGATACATGCTACAAATCAAAATTTCCTGTCTGTTTTAGGTCCATGCTAATTGCAACCAGCCATACTTCATTTAAATGTTTAGCAAAAGAGTCACTTTCTCTGAAGCACAGAAAGATCTGCTCCAGTATCTCTGGACACACTTCTCAGGTACTTTAGGAAAAATGTTACAAGTGAACCTAAAATTTCTTTTATTGTTGCAGGTTATTTTAGTATCTGCTAACAAGCTTACTCGATATATAGAACCATGCCAACTAACAGAAGATTTTGGAGGAACTCTTACCTATGATCACATGGATTGGTTGAATAAGAGGCTGGTTAGTTTCCCCCTTTTTTCTTTTTTTCTTTCAAATTTCTCATTCTTGAGCCAGGAATTTTTATTTGCTTAGTAATTGCTAAGTGTGTAGAAATTGTCATGTGTGTAGCAGTGCAGTTCAAATGTATGAATGGTCTTACGATAACTAACACTGAATTTGCTCAAGGGATGATACAGCCAATGTACTCAATTTGTTGGACCAACAACTTCCTCAGGGTAGAACCTTTATTCTAGAAGAGCCTGAATGTATGGTATAGTTGTTGCTGCTGATAGGAGAAATCCAAACCAAGGAGGGAATACTTGAACTCTGCACGTATTTGAAGTTATCTCTTAGCCCTTGGTTTCTGTGGACTGAGGCAGGTTTTAAGCTGTACTGCAATAAAACCTCTTGTCAGTGAAGTTTCCCCAGCAGATACAGAGATTCGGTAAACATCTAGGAGCAAATACACCCCTAAATCATTAATAAACACAAGTTGTTTAAGCAACTGTTGGTGCACATAGCACTTCAGAATGTTTTAAATCTATTCTTCATTGATAACTGTTTTTCAGTTACTTAAATTGAATTTTAAAAACATTATTTAAACTTCAGTGAAATGGTGTTTTACTTTCCCATGCAATCTATTCTAAAATGTGCATGTCCATCTAGGATCTCCAAGTAGGATCCTGGATGAGGAATACTCCACAGTGTGTACCAACAGCAGCTGCCCAAAGCCTTCAAACATACCCTGCAGCCAATCTTGCAGCAGGACTTTGCAGGAAATTTGTGGGTTTACACCCTATGTACCATGTTTCTTTTTTGCGGGATCTCAGAAAACTTTATGTTCAGACCCAAGGACAGTGGAACCATAATCTGCTGTGCAGCTTTTTTTCTACTGCTCTTTGGCCTTTATGTGTGTGTGTTTAGGGCAAAGAACCTTGTTTCTTCTCTGCCTGAAACTGAGAGCGCCTTGACACATGGGAGGGAAATCTTAACACTTTTAATTGTCCTTCATTTTTGTCTGGTATATACAAATCTGGTTTGTACTCCCTTATTCCTGCATTCATAAAATTCATAAGGACAGTACTTTCACTCTGGTTGGGACTTTTGCTTTATATCTGGTTCGGATGACAACTGGAAATTTTTTTCTCCTGTGTCTCTTGCCTTATTTCATTTGTTTTGTATGTTAATGAAGAACCTCATCTGTTGCAACTCCTAAATTCTGAAACTAGGCAAGAGGGCAGAAAGGTTGTTTAAGGTAGTAGCTGAAAAATAGTTTACAACTGTTTATTCATTTTAATTCTATGGACTTTTTTCTTCATTTTGTAACAATTTAGCTTGAATTATATAAACCACTCATAAGTGGGCTTTTACGAGCTGTCCACCTCATGTCCTATTTCGTTTTTGCTGAAATTTCAGTAGAACCTTCCTTAGCCTATCTAGGACATCTGCAGGCTATTGATTAATAATTATTAACATCAAAAAGACCTGAAAATTGTTGTGCATGTCACTTATGGCACCCAGTCATGCTCAGTTCTGTTAAAAAACCAAAACAACAC